GAAACTGCAGACTCGGATTTCTTCATCTTCTGATAAAGTGGCAAAAATTCCGCGTGCGCACGTAAGCATCACCAGTTTCTCCTCCGTCATCGTACAAAAACAGACGATAGCGGCTGTTCATTGATAATTAGGTAAAAAAACAACTAATTGATTTGACCAGTAAGCCGAAAATATTCTGAGCTCGTCGGTATTTCCGGGTTGCGCAAAGTTCTTCCAGTAATAATCGCCATTTCACAAATTTCACGTTTCTCTTAACAACATAATCACTGCGCTATTAAAATAATACTATAACTAAAATAGCTTTACTTATCATTGATTTTGCGGTCCGTAATTTACTTTACATAAATCCAAGTTTTATTATCAATGCGTAAACAATGAGGCTAAATAAAAGTTTTGATGACATCCGACAGTTCATATGGAAAACGAGAATAACAGTAATTCCTTGACCGAGGATCGCGTGTATCTTTTGACCGCCGCCTGCAATCATCTATGACGTAAATTCATCAGCGGCGATTCATTACGAATGTGACAACTTTTTGATACGACTATGTCGGGGTTCGTGATTAATTATTGTAATTCCGGGAATCACTGCTCTCCATTTATTCTCATTCTACCCGATTCAGGCACGGTAATATCGGAACACAGATAGTATTGCGTTGTTAAAACTCGAGAAACTCGTTCCCGAATACGCCTACGGAATACTGATTTCTATGATTACGAACAGAAAGGAAAGGTGTAACAATATGTATCAGTGTTAGTTCGGCCTGTTTTACGGTCAGATAAATAACGATCTTTATGAGATAAACGTATTTTCGAGATGAAAAAAGCTGATGATTCAGTGACGAGGGCCGAAGGAAATTTTTGCTTGTCTCTAGGTGTTTGGAAATCAACGTGCAGCGAGATAAACCTTCGTATTTTACAAGAATCACGTCCCACCCACATTTTAAGCTAGATTTAATGACGTAATCACGACAGAAATTAGCAACCCATTCGCGTATAATTCGAATACGAAGTCTGAAACAACGATTTAACTCTTGCTTTTTCGTGTTCCACAATTTTATCAGATTTAATCTACATCAGGGTTCGCTTTTTATATCCGAACATTCTGCGTTTGCGAGACTCCCGATCGCTTCAAATATGCTTTCTAAAACAAGTTTGACTCCTTTTGCTCGTCAGACGTCGGCAACGTGATCTCATCTCCGGACACTTCTCGTTCTATTTTATCCAAATCTTCCGGCAATCGTGATACGTTTCCTTCACGCTTTTTTGCTCGTACGCCCACGCGACTGAACGGAATTACGACCTCTCTCGAAACGGAAAAAGGAACATCGGTCGGAACACGCGTCGATCTGATAGATTCATGCAATATTTCACGCCGGTATCGATCGATCAGAAACTCGCCTAGACACGTTCGACCGCGTTTTGCAAACCCACGCCGCCATACGGTGTGTAGTTACATGCATGTATGTATCTAGGCGCGAGAACGCGTTTCGTCCAGGACCGGTATTCCTGGAGGACAGGTGTCTGCGGAGATCGTGGCGTGGGTTACGCGGTCGGCCAGACGCGGGGATCCGGTCGATTCCACGCGGAATGTCGCGGCCCGGCTGGTTCCGAAACATCGATCGATCCCAGGCCACGTGAATGCGACCAGGCACCGGGGCCTCGGTTGATCGGCTCCGAAATAAAATCGTGGGACTGCGTGATGAATCGTAGAAGTTATCGCGATGATTAACGATTTCTCTGTTCACCTCCTGGTAAATTTTTTCAAATATCTCTTCCGGAGAAGACAATTGATTTAATTTGAAAAATTGTCCTATCGTATAATAAGGATAAATTCACTCAGAGTAATACAAAAGATTGTCTTCCATTAACATTACAGTTCTGTCAAACAACATCAGCGTTGGCGCGAATAGATGAAGCTTGTCGATCGGGCAACGGTCGTATATAAACATGTACCAACATTGGAGTTCGGCCAAAGCTGACACTCGAACGTCATTCGAAAAAGTTTGAGATCAAGACTGATGCTCGCGTGCTCTGGGCACGCGCGGCAAAGACATTTAATCGAGATTCAAATCGTTATCGCGAAAACTGTGGTTACTATTTTATGTCCAGGCGTAATCACGTATGCATCTGATCGGACGATCTTTGATACGAATTACGAAACACCTCGTCGCATCGACACCTCGTTATTTATTAACAAGATGACCCGTCGATAGGAAGGTGGCAGGATTAAAAGCGTTCGCGGCGAACAGTAGCCGTCGGGCTTGCCAAAGTCCATTAAGCGGATCGACGAACAGCTGGGCGGCTTCTTTGTCTCTCGGTCGAGTTCGGACCGATAACTAGTCATCGAGTCATCGCCCGTAATAAATTCGATTTTAAATAGAAACAATAGCTCGCGGGAAATCGTCACGTATTCTTAATAGTTTCACTTCGTTTTTGAGAGATTCTCTACGTACAATGTTAACTAATCCAATTCGATACATAATGGATTTTGATATATTATTAATTGAACTCTGAAACTCGTCGCAAATGTATAGAAAACATTATTTTATTGCTTCCGTATTAAAATATTCGACAGTTCAAATTATTCTCCAAAATCAAATGTAATCTACACAAACGTAGGATAATATTATTTAAAGAGCTATCAACCACATATAAAGAGAATAGGAAATATAGTATAATTTTCAGAAGGATCGAGAGGAGTACAGGTTTGAGTTCCAGGAGAAACGATCGGTGGTACGTAGAAGACGTATGAAAGAGGAGACTGCAGACGTAGCAACTGGCCGCGGCGACTGGTCAGTCTCTTTCTTCCTTTCTCCTCCTCCTCCTGCACCTCCTCCTGCTTCTTCTTCTGGTGCCTCGTCTTCTTCTCCTGGCGATGTTCTCCAGGGTGACCGACCTCGACGCGGCGGCGGCGTCGCGCCAGCCAGGCTACGCGGAAAGAAGCGGATCGCGAGCGTATCGGGCTGGTTTTTGCGCCGGGGCGGCCGAGTCGAATTGTTGATACTCGGTGCTCGCCCCGGTAAGCCGGATTAAAAACCGACGAAGGGATTACGTCGGCGCAAATTTATTCGAACCGCTGCCAGGAATAAAAATCGGGAAGCATACTTCGACGGGAGCGAATTTTTATTTGGATTTATTTTATTTTGCTTTTTGGGGATGAATGGAAACTTTTGATCAACGAACGTGGTTTTGTCCAAGCTTCCGTTTTGTTTCGACGGTAGATGAATCACTTCTGCGATGCGCTTTAATCCACGTTAATAATAAAATGTGACTCAGAAAGTTTCGTCTTTGTGATAGAATATTATGGCTGGTTTGAAGTTAAAGTTAGTCAGATCGAGGAGAAGTTTTCCGAACTGTCAATTGCTATTAGAGTTCGTGAAACTCTCACTACGAATTGTTACGTAGGAAAAGGAGAATTATTATTCCGGAATCGAAATACTAAACTGCTATATACTCTTTCCAGGAACGATAGAATAGCTAATTTGTAATTTCTGCTGCTTTATCACCCACTAATGTTGATTCATATGCAAAAAAATAATGTTCGGAGTGCTACCGGTCTTCGATCGTCCCCAGGTCAAAAAAAAGGTCGTATTTATAATCGGCCCTGTCATTATAAACAAGAGTTTAGATGCCGAGAGCATTTTTAGACGTTATTCTTTTCTACGAACGGAGTCTAGCTCGGCAACCTCTATAAGTCGGATATTTAAGCTTTGCGGAATGACGTTCCGGAGTGCTACCGAATTTAGAATGTCCAGACCGGATGACGTTATAAGAAGCCTTAGCTACCTGCGGCTACGAAAAATGAGATGACCCGAAATGAATATCGAGATTAGTTTAAAAATCTTCCATGCCGCAGTGGAAATTTTAAATGCCAGACGTTTGTTGTGTTTCTGGATCGAAATGAATTATCCTATTTAACTGCAAGGTTAGCTCAGAATTCGTAGGACGATTTTTAATGTAAAATTCTGATATCTCGTATAAAAAAAATAAAGCATATGAGACAGAAAATCTGTAGTGGTAAAAGGATCAGTAAAATTTGCAGAACAGATGTTCAATTGATAAGCACAGTGGGTTTGCCGATACTAAAATTACTTTAGCTACGAGGATAAATGAATGGAACAGCATTCTTTGGGAAAAGGCACGGTCTACTCGTATAGCGTGTTTTTAGGTGTTAGATGCATGACACACGACGCGGTGAGACAATAAAAAAGGAATAATTATAGAACCGGTAATATATAAAATACTGCCAGACTTTTGTCGATGAAATACTGCTGGTGGAACCAGTACAACGTAATCGGTTTTCATTTACATATTAATGCATTCCTCGGATAAGGTGAAAAATCGCGGGACTTTGTTGGGAACCCTAACAGGCTCTAAAAACACCGTGACGGTAAAATAGCTTGTAAATCAAGATTAAATTTTCTGAGTACGTTTTGAATCTGTTCGCATGACGTATTATACGCGTAAGTGATTGTTAGGTGTTAACGTGAAATATCGATTCTCCGCCTTTGGCGATGTAAAAAAGATGGTTATAAATAATGCAGTCATACATTGTGCCTACTATTATTTTAATTTCTTTGTATCTCGGATCGGATGAAAAACAGCTTCCATTAAATACTTTTTTTTATAATGGTGAAACTATTTCTGTCTCTAAAGATGTCTAAATTGTACTCGGCAAAGTGGTGGAAGGACTGGAATTCAAAAGCAGATTTGAAGAAAGAGTCGGACAAGGTCCGAGTATGACGATTCCGCGGAGCGTTCCGACGTCGATCCAAATGACCGAGACTAATAAAAGGCAAAATAAGAGAAACGCGCTGACGTCTGGCCACTGTCTGGGGTTCTTCGTCTCTCTTTCCCGGCCAAGAAAAGGAAGAAAAGAGAAGAAAGGTGAGCAGCGAGCGTACGTATATATGCAAGCGCACGCGTGTAGTCCACAGTCACAAACTGAGTCATTAGGCATAATAAGCGAGAAGTCGCGCTGCGCGGCCCGCGCGTGTACTCGAGACTTTGATTCACTCGGCGTCTTTTGCCCTCGCCTTGGACCGCCCCCAACCCCATTTTATACCCTTTCAACGAGCGACCCCCGCTGCGTCGCGGTTCTCTCTTCGCTCTTCAGACTTTTTAGTCACGATGACTAGCCGCGGAGATTACAAGTGGATAAGTGAGACATTAAATCGGCCCACGATTTCCTGTACCACCCGGGCCTGAGAGTCGCGGCTCTTAACGCGGTTAATATGCTCAAGATGCTGGAGGTTCAAGCGTTATGGACGATTAATAGCAACAACTAACTTGACGATCGATAAGAATCGACGCTGGCAACGTGCATAATAGATCTCTACGAGATGCAGATTCCACAGGCCTCCGATAGAGCAAGGGATCCCCTAAAGAGGCTCGCAGGACAATGAACTTCACGCGTGCACATGTGTACACTCCTGTGCCGGCTCCACGGGGATAATGGGTAAACAATAATGAGGGAGAAAACGCAGGTGGGACGAGGTAAAGAAGGAGACCGGCTGGTGGCGTTAACGAGCTAGAAAACTAGCGGAAATTTACGCTCTGACAGATCGACAGTCGCCTCCTTGCGAACGATATAATAATAACTATAATAACGCTATCCGGAGGTCGATCTTGCTTAAAGACGCCGATTTTCCCCGTGCTGGGGGACCAACCAAACCGTGTAACTTTATCGGTATCGAAGCTGCGAAAGCACGATGCGATGCGCTCCAACGAGCGAACAAGCGCAATGCGGTGGCTACCATAATGACAGTGCTCCGCGTTAACAACCGGGAACCTGGTGAGCGCGTGTGTTCTTTATTATGCAACGTCATCGAAGGGAACCGGACACCGAAAGTGAAAAATCATCGATCGTCATCGTCGGTGCAGCTGGCTGATATCGTCGAGAGTGAAACTTTTTAACAAGTGTCGTTTACAGCAAACACGAACGTATTAACGCGTAAATAATTCGATCTACGATCCGGCCGTGCCTTCAATTTTCTCGATAAGGATCGATGATTGGGATTTGGATCTGCACGGAATCTTAATGCTAATGAAGCATGATGAAGCTTCGGTATGCCGATACTGGCACTCTTGTATTGATCCTGTTGTTGCGTGTACATGTGAAGGAAATGCACGCATGTATTCCCTAAAACGTTCATTGTATACGACAAAATTTGTACGTATGAATTGAAATTTCGTAACTCTAAACTTTAATATAATTAATGCCAACTCTATTCTATTTAGTATCAGGTTTAACAAATAGCTCAAAGTAATCTGTGTTCACCTATCAGTAACACGCCGTCTGAATTTGAAAGATGAATATCTCTACTCGTCTGTTTCTGAAAGCCAGAAAATTTCTTCAACCATGCCCTAAACAAGAGTACGAGTTCTACTATCTATAATTGTACTTCACTACATAACTGAACTTAATAAAAGCGATGTCAAAATTGAATTGAAAATCATTTTAATATCTCATCCCGTCCCACTTGCACTTAGTCCCTATACTGTTCGCCCTCTTAGAACTCGCCGCTAAATCAGAATATTTTTCAACGATCGATGCCAAGGATTATCTTCGGTTCATCGAAGAAGCGATACACGAGGAAGCTAAAAAAGAAGAGAGTCAAGGATGATGAGAAAGAGGCCGGCGTCCTCGTCGCGTAGACGGTGGGATACGATGAGCACCTGCTGAAGCCTCTCATCTAAACCGGTGGGGGAGGAGACGTCAATCAATGCCTTTTCAGGGAATTGCGTAATCGTCTAGACTAGCCGACCTCTTTATCGCTCTTATCGACTCCCGCCAAGGTTGATTCACAGTCGGCGATGTCGATGACGACGGAGTGGAAGAAGGTATTATTATACCCGGCTCGCGACGGTAATTATCGAGTCACCGACGCAGTTATCAGTCCAACGACCGACCAAACGGCAGAGCCGTCTATCACCGTTGCTGCTCCCTTTTCACGCATCTCGAATTTTTTTCAAACGCCACGCGTCACCGTTGTTCAATCATAGTTTTTTTTAATCAGACGCGAATTCATCGCGTTCTGTTTCACGTTGCTACGATTCAGGTTTCGCTACAACCAGTCTCGAATATTTTCAACGCAGGCCTCGTCATTCGACCGCGCTCAAAGAGGAACAACGATATTGCGTAACACAAGGGAAATCACGGGACGGCTTTTCACGAATGTATGGAATTTTTCATCTTCCTCCGAGCGGGAACTGTCCACGGTAGTCCTAAAAAATCTTCCATAGGTGGCCGTCACGGGGCTTACTCTACCCGACTAGACGCCAAGATTTTTATAAATACGTGAAACTCGTGCCTAGGTACAGATTACTCGGGATTCCAAGCTCCACGCGGAGTGATAATTTTTGTCACGGTGGGATCCTTGCGAGTTACGCGGGATTAATTTGGGAGACGCACGGTTAGGTAAAATGAATGTGCTCGTAATTGCTTCTTGTTTTATCTTGGAAATTCATTTTCCAATTTGCAAGCAAAAAAATATATTAATACCTACTTCCTAATTGAATATTACTATAAAATCATAATTTATACTCCGAAGTAAGTGAGTATATCAAGAATCCTCTATCGTCCATCAACTTGCATATGCCATCGATTAAGCCAACCACCAGTAGGGAACGTCTTACACATGCAACGTAGGAAGGTACGCGTAAACGCCACGCGAGCCCTTTTTCCCTCCCAGGGATGGAAGTAGCCGGTCAAACGACAGGTCGTCCTACGAGGAGTAAGTATGAGCTCTACAGGCTCGGTATGCAGATTCGTCTCGTTTGCGGTAGACCGGCGACGGCGGTCGCGTCGTCTACTCGAAAAGGCCATTGTGGAGGCACCAACCGCGGAGGAGGTCGAGGCTGAAACCCGGTTACGCCGCGTTGCGGGTCGCGGCCTCGTCAGGGACTGGGTCGAGGTTGCCCGGGCCCCCGGGGTCTCCCGGGCATAAAAAATGCCACGCGCGCGTTCGCTCGCTCGAAAGCTTCCAGTGAAAAGTGTCGTCGCGGTGTTTTTCGACCGGTTTCAGCAGCCGCCCTTCCCTGGCAGGAGAAAGGCCGGCGTACGACCCTCCAGAGGTCGGACCAGTTCCCCGAGACCAGACGCATTTTCTGCCGCTCCCGAAGAGATGGCCAATTTCACGGACACCCGGCCTCTTCGCACCTCGACGCGATGCTCTCGTCTCGAATCGTCTCTCACTCACGCGCGACTGTATTTGGTATGCCGGCCGCTGCCTCACGAATTGGTTTATGGTTTTCGGACAACGGAAGGGGACGTGAATGACGAGCTATAGGTGGTCCGGTCTGCTTTTTTGTCATTCAATCTCGTGACAATGCGAGTATTTAACCCCTGCGCACTCTCTCAACAAGCGTTACAGGCTGGAGGAGTTTACAGAATTGCTCCCGTCCGATACACACTTCAGCAATTTCAATAATTCCACCATTGGATTAACGTCTGTCAAATTCAATACGATTTTGTCTAACAATTTCGGCTGAAATTTCACCTTCGATCGGGGTGGTCGAACGACGGCCGCGAGGGTGTCAAAACGCCGACGAGGGGGTGAGCAATAAAGAAACGGTCTTATATATACGTCTCGCGGACGTGACTGGCAGGCCGAAGGCGGTTCTCGATTTCTCGGGAAATCGCGGCGCAATTTGGAAAGCGCGCGTCGCGCGTGTTACGCGTGCGAGACACGTACCGTGCTCTGCGGCTGTGGCTACACAATGTCCTCGGCGAGCTGCAGAAAACACGCTCGAGTGGCCGGTTACTTACGAGGAGGCCGGCTCTCGTCCATCCCGAGGTTGTCGCAATGCAGCCACGATTGCGCCTCGCCGCGGGTAAACACGTCTAGACGACGATGTCCCGACTTTCACCTCTGTCGCGAGCCGCTGTTGTAACAAGACTCATGCCTCTAGCTGTCATCCGTGAGGAGAAGAGTCGAATGACTCTCTCTCCGACATTAAAAAAATTTGAACGTTTTATGATACCAAGTCACGTGTCTGATCTGATCTTTTTGAACTGTTTGTACGCGATGGTAATTCTTGGATAGGTTAGTTAGACGGGTTCGTGATCATTTGTAAAATGGATGTACGCGGAAAGAATCGTCGAGGTGGAGTGGCTGCAAAACGAGTTGTGAGTCTGGTCTGTTCCACGTGTTAGTCAATATTTGAACTGCAACGACGCCTCGCGTACAGCTTGTGTGAAAATTGACGAACCAGGTTCCACAGTGGCTCTGCATGATTTCTGCACTGTGCGTAGGAGGTGGATGAAGCACCGATAATTTATGACAAAGATTTAGGATCGCTCTATAAGATGCAAGTCTTAAGTATCGTAGCGAGCACTGTGCAACAGTCCAATTTGTTTGGTACATTGTACGTGGTGTCGGCTCTCAGTCTCGTTGCCAATTGGTCCGCGAGCGTAAATGGAGCGATGCCACGCGCCGAACGTTTCCCGCGCGTTCCATATAGAGGCACAGCCTATTTTTAGACGGAAATCGGTGCAACACCTACGTCAATCAGACTGGCCACAGTGTGTCTCTGTGACAGGAATAAAATCCGCCGCGTCCGTCGCTCTAGAAATAAATACGTCTAGACGTCCAACTTTCACTTGGCCGTCATTGACAGGCTTAACCTTCCGCCGGTACACTTTTCAAGAACGTGGTCGCACGATTTCCGGGGACCACCACGACTGATCGATTCGTTACGCGAAACCGTTTCAGGAATCAACGACGCAATCGTCGCAAGATTTCCGTCTCTCCAATTTTTAGGAATTTTATAATTCATTGCACGAGGTCTCCGTCATTTTATTCAAAGCGATTCTTAAGTTGATGAGAAAGGCCAGTAAAATTTGTGAGTATGTACACAATATGTTCGATTTTAATACATCGTAGGCACAGTATAAGAAAGAACAGTAGAATCATTCACGACGTCGGCTCGTATGATCTCATGACCAACAGATTTACCATGTTGTTAGTTGTACGCGGGGTCTTATTTGAAAGATAAAACAAGAAAAATCTTATACATTATAAGATCGTGAGTTAAACAGACTCAGTTGTTATTGGTATGTAACTATAGTTGCCAGATACAAGAAAGGGCCTATCAAATTTCCTCTTAACTCCATTCGTTAAGAAATAATTCACGACGAACAGACTAATTAATCGATTAGCCCTAAATTATTCGAGGTAGAAACAAATTGTGTACGACCTTTCCTGAAGGTAATAGCAGTACCTATAACGGTGTCATAGAGAAGTAGATGACTCATTGAAAATCTGGGAAGTTCGATTTTAAAGTAGAAGACTATCGGCTCGACTGAGTTCTGCGGTGAGGAACTGAATTCAGGCATCCAGACGCAGAACCGCGCGGTGACCTACGGGGATCGATAATCGCGCTTGTTGCCAGGAAAGTCCAAAAAGTAGCGGAACGGCAAGCGGAAAGACCGCAGACGCGGTCTGCGGTCTACTCCGACCGCATCGGCCTTCTCACAGCGGCCATGCAACGCTCGTCCGACCGGCGAGTATCCCGACCGCGCGAAAATTCGAGTTAATTTCCTGCCTGGGCCACCCCTTTCCTTACCCTCCCTCTGCTTAAACGCTCGTGAGGTAGCTTCTTATCCTTGTACCGACATCGCTAGTATTTACAGCGGCTGGTTACGAACTATGACGATAATTGAGCGGACTCGTATTAATTGTAATGTACTGTTAGCTTGTGCGATATACATATTAATACCGCGAGACTTATTCGACCAGGCTACGTGTCGGAATGACGATTTGAACGTGATACAAAGACAGCGTGACCAATGCTAAGAAGACGATGCGATGTACTTATCAAGCGATGGCTCATTAACTGACTAACAGACTCTAGGTCTAATAATAGCAGTTGACACGAACAAAAATCTTTTAATAGACATTTGTCTACGTACGTCGATATTTTGAAATTATTTTAATTTTCGGAAGATGAGCTTTTATAAAAGCATCGTTAAATACAATTAAGGTAAATTGTGTGACGTATAACAGGTATTAAAAATGATATTAAAGTCATAAAGCAATATGATTGCTGTACATGTGCTATTAAACACTGATTCTAATGAAGCTACAGTACCCTCGTATTGTTCCAAGATTCTAAATGAACCGGTAATAGCTCGTTTATTGCTCAATAACGATTTCAAACTGTTTCCATGGAAGTTCATAATTTCACGTCGAGGATTCATGGAAGACAGGAAAAAAAAATAGAACCCAGAATTATGAATATGCGCTTTACATCAACCGCTGAGGAGGATGTAATTTTTTAACTTTGTATGAGCCTCGCGCGCCGACGTGTTCCCCTCTAACCTGGCCAGACGCGTACACGTTCTTACTTAATTTCACTGACAAAAGAGATGCGATGACTCATTTAGCCGCCTCGAGTGTTTCCGGTTGTTTTGTCAGGAACTGTGGAGAATCGCTGCGAATGAAG